CCATGCATATGCACGCTTCCAACTCACCTTTTCCAAGGTGATATATATAGCCCTCCAGCAGAGCAAGCCGACTCAGTGTCTCCACTTCTGGGCTCCCCCCTACTTGCTTCTGCATTAGGCATAGGCAAACTCGGCCCTCCAGATGTTTTGAGACTACAATTCCCACCATCCCTGATCACTGGTCCTGTTAGCTGGGGATGATGGGAGTTGTGGTCCCAAAACATCTGGAGGGCCGAGTTTGCCTATGCCTGTTCTGCATCCTGCAGGATTGAACCATTTCGTTCATATGAGTTACACCTGCATAAGGCTTGAGGAGTCTCTGATCCTGGTGGGCTATGAATGGGATCCACGACTTTGAGAATATTCCATAGTAAGTTTCTGACCTTGAAATTCCTTGGCAACTGCTGGGCCAGTTTGCTTTCATGTCATAGATGCAGCTGTAGAAGTCGGGAGAATGAAACTGTCTCTCTTTTATCCATTGATACAGACGGCTAGAGTTTCGACCGCCATTTTGATGGGAGTGCATTCTGCATTAAATATAACACCTGCTTCACTGTTTCCACTTAGTGAGAGGTGTTTGCTGTTGAGATCTGGGGATCTTTGTATTTCATGTTTTGAAAAGACCATGTGTATAGAGAAGTCTCTCAAGGCAAAACCACAGCATCCAAACTTTATGGATCTGATATGAGGGCACTGGAGAAACGGCTTCCTCTCAAATATTTGTACAGCATATATTAGAAAGGGAGGCATAGACACACACAGATGCACACAGAGGGGCTTGGCTATCTCACTGTCTGCCCTTGAAACAATGTTAGATACTTTGTGAATGATGAGGATGTTAGCTTAAATGTACTGTTTCAGGAAAGACTGTGCTTGAACAAGGCTAAAGGTAAAGGAACCCCTGACCATTAGGTCCAGTCGTGGCCAACTCTGGGGTTGCGGCGCTCATCTTGTTTTACTGGCCGAGGGAGCCGGCGTACAGCTTCTGGGTTATGTGGCCAGCATGAGTAAGCCGCTTCTGGCGAACCAGAGCAGCGCACGGAAACGCCGTTTACCTTCCCACCGGAGCGGTACTTATTTATCTACTTGCACTTTGACATGCTTTCAAACTGCTAGGTGGGCAGGAGATGGGACAGAACAACGGGAGCTTACCCTGTTGCGGGGATTCGAACCACCGACCTTCTGATCGGTAAGTCCTAGGCTCTGTGGTTTAACCCACAGCGCCACCCGCATCCCCTGAACAGGGCTAGTTTATGTTAAATTATGCTAAATATTATATTATAGGAGCACAAGAGCACTCCTACAGTTAAGGTGTGTAGCAAAAACAAGGTTCACTCCTTATAAGCCCCAATATTCTTATAGTTTATAAAGCTGACATCTGTTGGACTAAGAGCTTGAAACTTGGCATACACAGTCTGATCTAGTGAAGTGGATCCAGCCAGCAGGCTCATTGCTGATACACCTGATGAGGGCTATGCAAGTGTGAAATTTTGGAATGATCCAATAAAAATTGCCACAGATATAGCAACGTTTAAAAGTCCCAAAAACAGACACTTTGGCTGTGCACGAACCATATATTTAAGGCACATTACTTCCCCCAAAGGATCCTGGGAAGTGTAGTTTGTTGCAGCTGCTGGGAACTGTAGCGCTGGGAGGAGTAAAATACAGTTCCCAGGATTCTTTGCAGCAAGCCATATGCTGAAAATATATGGTGTGTACACGACTTTTGATAGCTTAGTTGGTAGAGCACAAGACTCTGAATCTCAGGGTTGTGAGTTTCAGCCCCTTGTTGGGCCAACGATTCCTGCCTCTTCAGGGGATTGGACCTCATGGTCCCTTCCAGTTCTATTAATCTCTGATTCTATGACTCATTTCTCCTTCATTTTTAAGAACATATACCATATTTCTTCCCCATTTTGGTGGAAAACACCGAAGCACTTTATTGAGGCCCTTCCATCCCTGGGTCAGTCCTGCCTTCCACATTTGAAGCATGAACAACTGCAAACCCTATGCATGGGGCCAAGGCCTCTGCACTGTTGGGACACCTTGACTGTGTGGGTGTCTCAGTTGTCCAGGCATAGGCAAACTTGGCCCTCCAGATGTTTCGGGACTACAACTCCCATCATCCCTAGCTAACAGGACCAGTGGTCAGGGATGATGGAAGTTGTAGTCCCAAAACAGCTGGAGGGCTGAGTTTGCCTATGGCTGATATAGTCCATCATGGGAGCAGATGCTACCCTGTGGGTGTTCCTTTGCAGATGTCCATTCTCAACACGCAGATATTCAGAAGTCAGGAAATGCACCACTGCCCTATTCATGCCTCACCACACGTGGCGATTACTGTGTGGCTAGATCTCATGAATCTTTGCGGTGGCATTTCAATTCAAAATCAATGCATCAGAGAAAAGGAACGACTGTGCATCGTTTCCCATTCCCTTTGCCTCTTGATGATGACAAAGACTGAATTTAAATCGAGTCTTTCCGAAACCTTGTGGATTATAGCTAAGGTGGAAATTGGGCCTGGATGGCTTTCCTTGCTTATACACGTGCCACACCCACCAGCATTAGTTTGCATTTCATTCTCGCTTTTCTGCGGCTTTGATATGACATGTGCAATTTATTTAAAGAGGGAAGGGGTTCTTCCCATCATTTTGCTCTTGATTGATGCGATTTTTCTTTAAGAACAACTTTATAGGGTAATTTGGCATACATGCACGGCAAACCTAAATGGAATGCTTATCAAAATAGCCGAGTTCTCGCTTATCATGAGCAATAAATGCCTAAATCTTTCTTTAAGGTGAATTTAGCTTGGAGATAGATAATAATTCCCCACCTCTCGTGAGTCTGAAGGTGGTCTGCAAGTGGAATTAGGGTGAGTGATGAGAGCCAGTATGGTGTAGTGGTTAAGAGCGGTAGTCTTGTAATCTGCGGAACCGGGTTCGCGTCTCCGCTCCTCCACATGCAGCTGCTGGGTGACCTTGGGCCAGTCACACTTCTCTGAAGTCTCTCAGCCTCACTCACCTCACAGAGTGTTTGTTGTGGGGGAGGAAGGGAAAGGAGAATGTTAGCCGCTTTGAGACTCCTGAAGGGGAGTGAAAGGCGGGATATCAAATCCAAACCCTACACTGGTACCTCGGGTTAAGTACTTAATTCGTTCCGGAGGTCCGTTCTTAACCTGAAACTGTTCTTAACCTGAAGCACCACTTTAGCTAATGGGGCCTCCTCCTGCTGCCACACTGCTGGAGCACGATTTCTGTTCTCAACCTGAAGCAAAGTTCTTAACCCGAGGTACTATTTCTGGGTTAGCGGAGTCTGTAACCTGAAGCGTTTGTAACCTGAGGTACCACTGTACTAGTACAGCTGCCATTTTAAAAGGAGGAGGGTTGGAATTTCCCCATGCTTCTTGCAGACATTGTTCCTTCTGCAGCCTACCCAGTCCCTTTTTTGAAACTTGAAGATGCTTTTTCAGCCTACGATCCCAGACAATCAGTGAATATCATATCTTTACCAAACAACTCAGATTAAGCTATGTGATGACACGGCAGAGGGCAGACAAAACCCTTGCGTTGCCCTCATTCTGAGTGCGTGCATGTCAGGACTTCAATCTAGCTTGAGGTTTGAGTAGCTGCTGCAAGATGTGAATGGGCATGCGCACTTGAATGCATGACCAGTTGAAATAAACACACTGTCTCAGCATTGGTATTCAGATGCATGCTCCTATCTGCATGCTACCCCTGATAAATGATACTCAAACAAATACATTCTACTGGATCAACACACAAAAAAGGACAAGCCCACTTGCTCTGGCAATGGGGACACATTCTTTCCCCCTCAACACATGTCCCCTTTAAACCATTCTGCAGGCTTTATCAAATACTGGCAAAAATGGGGCGAGGCATATTTTGTGCAGGAAGAGAATGTTCAAGAAATCCACACATACACCCCCATTTCAACCTGTGCAAGCTCCAGGGGTGGGACCTGTGGCTCTCCAGATTTGACTGAACTACAACTCCCATCATCACTGACCACTGATGTTGCTTGATGGGGCTGATGGGAGTTGGAGTCCCAGCAACGTCTGCAGAACTGCGGGCTCCCCACACCTGGTGCATACTCACCCAGCTTTTGCCTCTGTGAAGCAGATTTTACAGGATGTTCTGAGTTTTCAACAACCTGTTTGAACCAGATGCAAGAGAAATACACACAGAGAGCTCAAGGAAGCCTTGGATCACCTTCTGTTTGCAACAATTTCTCTCCATTTGTATTTACTCTGAGAGCAAGATACAGTGGTACCTCGGATTACAGATGCTTCAGGTTACAGACGCTTCAGGTTACAGACTCCGCTAACCCAGAAATAGTACCTCGGGTGAAGAACTTTGCTTCAGGATGAGAACAGAAATCGCACAGCGGTGGCACGGCGGCAGCGGGAGGCGCCATTAGCTAAAGTGGTTAAGAACAGTTTCGGGTTAAGAACGGACCTCTGGAACGAATTAAGTTCTTAACCCGAGGTACCACTGTATTGGCAAAACTGGGCTCCTCTCTCACCTCTGCCTTTTTATAGCCTAATTGAAAGGCCAGCTCAGGTGTCACATCCACAAAATCTAGTGTGATATTCCCCCCTGATCTTATCCTGCAACCCTTTTCTTGCAGAAGTAGCCCTTCCCCATAGCTGCATAGATTTTGCCTACCTGGGCAGCAGAAGTTGTGTGTGCCAAAAATTGAGGCTCAAGTCCCAATGTGGCAAAGAAATGGAGTGAAATTTGTCTCCCCCCTCTTTTTTATAGCGAAACCTCAAGGGGAGCGTATTTCATACAATTCTCCACCTCAGATTATTTACTGGGAGAGCCCGGGACTCATTCATCATTAGTGCAGAAAAACAAAAACTACCTGCTATTGATTTGTGTATTTCAGACATGCAGATGGGAAATGGCACGGAAGAGGCTTGCATTGTGCTGACAGCTCTTTTGGCACAAAATGTGCGCTGCTCGCCATCCATTAACAATCCCCAGGTGTCGTAGGGGGACATTTTTCTTCCTTTCCTGCCCACGTCGAGAAGCCCTGCTTTTCCTTTCTCTTTTACGGTTGGCAAAGAGAAGGTGTAATTCTCTTCGCAATGAGCCGGCACAACAACAGCCTTAAGCAAGAAGATTTCACAAAATAGGGCAGAACAAAATCGGTGGCTGTTTCCTCTGGGACGATGCAATCTCCTGCTCCTGGACTTTTTATTACTATTGCTGAGAAAGAAAAGAAAGCACCCTTATTATTAGAAAGACTGCAATAGCCCCGTGTAGTTTGCAGTTAGCATTTGCAACCATGTTCCCAATCTTGGGTGTGGGACAAAGCGTGCATCACAGAAATATTGGTTATACTAGCCCTTATTCTAATGGTGACTTATTAAGACACACCATCATCATATGCTATGTTCTACTAAATCCATCATGCTACAATTTCGTATTCCTAGGCCAAGATCTAGCAAAGTAGTACACATGTGCATGCTTTGTTTTCCCCATCAAAAGGAAGAAGCAGGAACAGAAGGAACTGCCTTATGCTGAGAAAGACCATTGCTCCATTACACTCTGTATTGCCTGCCCCAGGGATGGGGAGCCTGTTGGACTACCATTCCCATCATCCTCTGCAGACCATGGCCAATGGTCAGGCATGATAGAAGCAGTCCAGCAACATCTGGAAGGCCACAGGTTCCTTATCCATGGTCTACGCTAGGGTTTCCCAAACTTGGGTCTCCAGCTGTTTTTGGACTACAACTCTCTCTCTCTCTTTTTTAAAAAAATAATTTTTATTAAATTTTCCACTTGAACAATCCAATCAAATCACATTAAATATTCCAAATTATACATATACATATCAAATAATCCGAATATTCTGCCAAACTATAATTTTTTAAATAGGACTTTCCATGCTTCAGGTTTGGAGGGTTCTGATCATCTCATACTTCTACTGCTTTTCATAGTCACTTCCGATGGTTCCTCTGCTGTTAACCTTTCACAGTCTCTGAGTTGTTCCCACAAGCGAGTTAAAACAAGCAATGATGTGTTTGTGTGTGGATTTTATGTCTATGATTCCCCTCTATAAGTTCGCAGCATCTCCTCACACTCTGGTGTTTCTGCTGAATCAATCCAAGGTCTTTGGACTACAACTCTCAGTATTCCTAGCTAGCAGGACCAGTGGCCAGGGATGATGGGAATTGAAGTCCAAAAACGACTGGAGAACCAAGTTTGGGAAATATTGGTATATGCCAACTCTGCAGTTTCAGACAGGAGTCTTTTTGAGGCCTATCTGGAGATGTCAGGGATTGAACAAGAGACTTTATGGACAAAAAACATGTGATGTACCATAGAGTTATGTTTCTTCCCTTAAAAGGAAGCACTGCTCACACTTCAGCAAACCAACATTAGATAGTGCTACTTGCTGGAACACGCACACACACACACACACACAGGGGTGGCGGCTGCTAGTTGTTCTGTGAACCTGAGACCTCCAGGTATAGGGCGGTACATAAATTCAAGTAATAATAATAATAATAATAATAATAATAATAATAGTGTAGGAATTCCTAGTGATGAAGAGAGAAAAGGTCCAGCTCGCAAAGCAATTTCTCTCTTTGTCCATGCATTTTCCTGAAGTAAAAGCATTATCCCAAACTCTGCATGTCTCCTTGCTTCTTCACCTGTAAATGCAGATTGCTTCACTGGGTTCTGGTACTAATCTGTAAATTAATATGGCTTAGAACTGCCCGTTACTGAAGCCATGTAGAAGATGATTAAGAAATGCATCTTCCTTGTAGTGGCTACACACAGGGGCTTATCAAATGCTTACTAGATCCCGCTGATTCATGTAGTATCTCACCATGCTTCTCCTTTCTTTAATACCTCAGTGTTAGGAACACTGCTCTGGTGCCAAACATATTCTTTCCTGTTTTCATTATATTAGACTAACTCATCCTTACAGCTCCGGAATCCATTCACAGGGGCCTTTTTAGATAATTACATTGTTGGGAGAGGGGGGGAGGTCCTTGTTGGATAAAGGTCCTCATTTCTCCAATTTAAAGCACAAGGTAATTCATTTTGTGTTTTGCAAATAAACAAGGCTCTGAAAAGGCCACATGCATTCTCCTTTGAATAATAAGACTGGGGAAACAGAAATAAGTCACTTAGCTTTTAAAGCTCTAGGGTCAGTCAAGTGATTCACTCCAAGGAGAAAGATATGCATTCCAATTGCCCGTCTGGGCTGTATAATACATGCAAAGAAGAAGAAGACGCTGGTTTTCTTGCTGCTGAGCAATGTGTTACATACGTAACATGACATGTTAACACAGTTTATGACTCCTTAGATGAGGCTGGAAAGAAATCCTGATTCACTGCCATTAGCAAAAGTGCTCAGACTCCTGGGAGTTCTTCTTGGAAGGCCTGCACATATTCTCCATCTGACCTAATTTAAACAATGTCATGAATTGGAATAGATTGCTATCAGCTCTGTCATGCTTGTCATAACGTGGCAGTTGAACAGAAGACTGCCCTTCCCAAGAGAAATCCCTGCTATGAAACTGTATTATTTAATGGAGTTTAAAGATTTTTCCCTTCAAAGTTTCAGTAGGCTGGCTGGCTAAGAACCCCCACTTCAGAAGAAAAAGTATGTTGGACTTTTTACATCTTCCAACATAGTTAAACTATGAAATTCATTGCCATAAGGCAGCTGGGGGAAACCTTTGGACCTCCAGAGGCTGCCGAACTACAATTCCCATCAGCCCCCACAAGCATAGCTTAGCTAATGGCCGAGGATGATGGGAGTTGTAGTTCAGCAACAACTGAAGGGGCAAAGGTTCCCATACCTGCCACGGCTGGATTGAAAGCACAGATCCAACATTTGTTTGTGTTTAAAATGAGCTGTTTGCAGACAACAGGTGCACCTTTTCACCGATGTAATGTCTCTGTAACATTGCAGAATGAGAGTTCTGTTTGAATGGGAAAACCGCATAATCAAAAGCAGTTTTGAAATATTTGATATCTTAATTGGCCCACCTAAGCCTACAGCAGGTGTCCAACATGGTGGCTTCTAGACATTGTTGGACTCCCATCAACCCCAACCAGCACGGCCAATGGATGATGGAGGTGGTACTTCATAACATCTAGGTGGCATTGTGCTGGCTTACAGTCACCAATAAGATATTTTTTTTAAAAAAAGTTCAGTTCACGCAGTGAATGACCTCAGTAGCTATATTTTGGAAGTGTCTCCAGCTTGTCATGAATTGAGATTTCAGTTTGCTAAATTATTTTACCAAAGTAAAATAAGAATGAGTTAGATGTTCTGGTCTTCTTATTTTTGGAATCTACATCTGTGTTTATGTCAAAGTCTACTTGGGGAGTTCTTCACACGAGCCATACTTTTGTGTCGGAGGCAAATGTGGGCTGATTGCTAACCTACGGTTGTAATTGCTCCAGAAACACCTCACGGCGCATCAAGAGCTCTGCCTCTAGGAATAGAAGGCTGATGAATCATATGGCATTTATATGATAAACAGAAAATGAACATTACGTTTGTTGTACTGAGCGATTTCCAAAATCTGTGAGGGAAACACTAGATTAATGTCTCTTCTGTCAACTCGGATATTAACAACTGATCTTTTACATGTATTTCATATTCTTCTACACTTTATCGTTTTGTTCCATGGAATGCTTTTAATTGCATGTCAAGGCATAAAGCTGCCTTCTACCCAGTGGAAATGAATGTGCTTGCATCCAAATATGGATGATGGATTCTTGACACTCCTGGAAGGTTATCCTAAATGCATAAAATTAACAGTGAGGATACCCAACTATCTCAGGAAGGAGCCCAGTTTGGGGGCAGGGGTGGGAGACCCCTATAATCTCCACATAAAGTGAAGGAGTAGAATTTGAGCAAACTCATAAACTCATGAATTCAGCAAGAGCTGGAAATAAGTCTGGCTAGCTTCCTCATGAGGCCAGGCTTGCAAGGGTGGGGAGGACTCTATGGAGGTAGAACACAGCCATTGTGTCTAGTAGCTAGTAAGCTAGTACTGATAATTAACCTCCATTAATTAGACAAATTAATTAGACAAATTAACACCCCTCCCCACCTGAAGACATCCATCTTGGTAGCCATGCAGGAAAAAATGCTTCCTTTTTTTCCTGCTCCAAATCTTTCAACATCTGGCTTCACCGTACGACCCCAGTTTCTAGTATTATGCGATAAGGAAATAACTTTTTTCTCTATCTCATACCCTCCAACATTTCTCCAATGAAAATAGGGAACTGTTATTTAATAATAATAATAATAATAATAATAATAATACCCTGCCCACCTGACTGGGTTGCCTCAGCCGCTCTGGATGGCTTCCAACATATATAAAAACATACAGGGCTGCCTTCAGATGTCTTCGAAAGGTTGTATACTTACTTATCTCCTTGACTCAGGGGTCGCAGAACTCCATACCCTCCAACATTTCTCCGATGAAAATAGGGATGTCCTAAGGAAAAGCAGAATATTCCGGGATCAAATCAGAAACCGGGATGGCTTCTGTAAATCCGGGACTGTCCCTGGAAAACAGGGACACTTGGAGGGTCTGTGGCTGGATCTACTAGACACATCAAAAAAGTGATTCAGTTAAACACGTTGGAAACTTCATAAAGGGAAATCCCATTGCAAAAGATGGGACTCCACAGCGCCATCTGGTGTCACAGTGTTATAATGCATCTAAAGCGTTTTTTCTTTACCAATGTAGCTGAATCCTGTTATCCATCTTCTCCATGCCGCACATAGTTTTATACATCTCTAACATGTCTTCCTTTTACACGCCTCCCATTCCCTTATTGTAACCCAACGAAGTCTTTGTAAGTAAAGACAACAACAAAGCTAGATACAGCAGTAGGGTAAGGGACAGAAAAGGGCAAGCAAAATGGATTTGGACTAATGCACAAAATGTAACCAAGATATCTCGCAGGGCAGAGATTCATAGCCTGTGAGGCCATGTAGGCCAAAGAGGGTGACCATAGCATATAGCCAGGAAAGTATTATGACCTTGAGATGGGCAAAGAGAGCAATTGAGATGAATGCTAATGCAAGCAGAGTCCAGATTTTGAAAGCCCTTTAGCTCAGGGGTGGCCAGTGAGATACCCTGCAGATGCTGTTCGACTCAAACTTCCATCAGCCCCAGCTGGCATGGCCAGAGGTTAGGGTCAGTGGGATTGGCAGTTCAACAACCACAGAGAGGGCAACACATTGGCTACCCCTTCTTTGGTTGATATCTGCTAAAATGCTTTCACAGCTCTGAGCAGAAGCAGGGGGAGAGGCACAACTCAGAGCTGGCAGAATATGGCCAGAGATCACATTCTGTGAGCTCAAGGAAAAACTAGATAGCTGACTTTGTTTTTTATGTTCTTAGAAACAATGTTTTTCAGGCGGACAGCTGTCCTTCTCTTCCTTAGATTTTGCTTTGTGAAGATCTCGAGCACAAGTATTTGTACCTCCCAAGGAAGTTACTGGAAAGACTGCCTGGGGTACCAAGGGAGACATTAAACTTTAGGAAATAACCAGGTGAACAAGTGCCAGGGGGAAATGTTATTTCTGGGCTATTTGTCAAGATATATGAAGCTTCGTTGGGAGGAGAAGTGCATTGGGAACAAATCGACCCAAGTTCTGGAAAAGTAGCCTCGTCAAAGCCAGTTCATACATGCAAATGTACCACCCAGAAATAGCCCCACTCCAGATTGTACTAGTTCAGACTGCAAAGTGGGGGATCGTTAATCATTTCACTACATAAATAACTTCTGGCTGCACAGAAAAGAAGACGAGCGTATAAAGGATAGGGATTCCAGCCTAGGTTTCACCCTGGTTTCCTAGATTTTGTTTCTTTATTGCATTTTCAACCCAGCTTTTTCTTCAAGGAGCTCCTGTTCCTCAGTTAATCCGCCCCCCCACAACAGCCCTGGGAGGTAGGCTAGGTTGAGAAGCAATGACTGGCCCAAGGTCACCCAGTGTGCTTCAAGGCCGAGTGGGGCTTTGAACCATGGTTGCCCAGGTGCTAGGCTCACACTCTAAACACTGCACAACACTGTTGTGGAGGAATTTTTTTTTTAATTGTGACTCTTTCTCCTCACATACTTCCTGTATGAAGCTTTACTGTCCCAGTTATTTTTTGATTATTTCGAGTGATCTGTACTTTTGAATGGTTCCCTAGTTGATAGCAACATTTTAAGAGCAATATTGGTCTGCAGTTACTTTGGCACTCTAGAGATGTGCCCATATACCTGTTTGCTACACTTCTATGCCACCTACTAACCAAAGTTCCCTGGGCAGTTTACAAAGTTACAGGGCCCGTTTCATTATGGCCATGAACCGCATGTACATAATCCTGATTCATAAGATGCATGGAATAGATTGACAAGTAGGATGGACACTTGTTGTCTCTGTCCATGGAGTTTTCTTGGCAGGGATACTGGAGTGGCTTGCCGGTTCCTGCTCCAGGTGGATCACGTTTGGTCAAAACTCTCCACTATGACGCGTCCATCTTGGGTGGCCCTGCACGGCATAGCTCATAGCTTCTATGAGTTATTCAAGCCCCTTCGCCACGGCAAGGCAGTGATCCATGAAGGAGAATCCCAAGACGGAATTAAGATTGCCAGAAGAAATATCAACAACCTCAGATATGCAGATGACACAACCTTGATGGCAGAAAGTGAGGAGGAATTAAAGAACCTTTTAATGAGGGTGAAAGAGGAGAGCGCAAAATATGGTCTGAAGCTCAACATCAAAAAAACGAAGATCCTGTCCACTGGGCCCATCACCTCCTGGCAAATAGAAGGGGAAGAAATGGAGGCAGTGAGAGATTTTACTTTCTTGGGCTCCATGATCACTGCAGATGGTGACAGCAGTCACGAAATTAAAAGACGCCTGCTCCTTGGGAGAAAGGTGATGGCAAACCTAGACAACATCTTAAAAAGCAGAGACATCACCTTGCCAACAAAGGTCCGTATAGTAAAAGCCATGGTTTTCCCAGTAGTGATGTATGGAAGTGAGAGCTGGACCATAAAGAAGGCTGATCGCTGAAGAATTGATGCTTTTGAACTGTGGTGCTGGAGGAGACTCTTGAGAGTCCTATGGACTGCAAGAAGATCAAACCTATCCATTCTTAAGGAAATCAGCCCTGAGTGCTCACTGGAAGGACAGATCGTGAAGCTGAGGCTCCAATACTTTGGCCACCTCATGAGAAGAGAAGACTCCCTGGAAAAGACCCTGATGTTGGGAAAAATTGAGGGCACAAGAAGAAGGGGACGACAGAGGACGAGATGGTTAGATAGTTTTCTCGAAGCTACAAACATGAGTCTGACCAAACTGCGGGAGGCAGTGGAAGATAGAGTCGGACACGACTAAACAACTAAACAACATGGACACTTATGCATTGACACCAGTTTGCGTAAATTGTATACCACCTGTATATGGCATTTGACATGCACAGAGGCAAGTGGAGAACTAACTGCTTCAATTTAAATAGAAACACAACGCATCTCGCCGTAGTGGGGGAGACACCATGTAACACGTAACCCAAATAGCCGTTTCCTCCAATTCTGCTTTAAAGAGCATGTTTTTGCGGGGAAAGCTCCATAGCAAAGAACCAGATGCTCTGATGTGGAGCTTTAAAGCATGGGCCTGTGCCTGGACAGAGTGAGACTACAGGCAGTGCTTTTTCCTGGGGGTACGAAGGGGTATGCATACCCCTAAATGTTATGTGAATCTTCATACTTTTATCCATTTACTGTATTTATTTTCCCCGATTTGAACTAAAAAATGGTGGTTTTCTTGAGTCAAAATGAATCAAAATGAGAGTAAACATTTTTTTAAGGAAAAAAGCACCGACTACAGGTAAGTGTGGAAAAGACCTCAGGCAGAGGCCACCTTCCAACAGAGAATGTCGCCTGACCAGAGGCGTAGCAAGGTCAGGTGGTACCCGGTGTGGAAAATTTATTGTCACCCTCCCCCACATTCAAATTATTAAAAGAAGGAAAAATAAGATACAGTCGCAGGTGTTAATTTCTGTTTTATTTACTGAACATTGTGAGCATAAGCAGCTTTGGCTTAGCAGCCCAGGAGGTTGTCCGTGGCACCTGCGAGTCCCAGAGCCCAACTGCTGTTGGCGGCCTCCACGGGCCACTGCTTCCTTGGCAGGCCACCGCAGCAGCCCCAAAAAACCAACCATTGGGAAGTCAGCCTCGGCAGCAGCAGCCCCTTCCTTGTCTTTGCCTCACCCCCAGCCCGCAGCTGATTGGCCAGCTGGGTTGGGGGCGGGGTGACGGTCCCAAGACAAGGAGGGTGGCATCCGGGACCCGGAAGCCCCAACCACCTCTCGGAGAGGAGCTTCAATAAGTTTATTTTTAAAAGACTTATTTTCCCCAGATTGTCACCCCCCTCAGCAGTGACACCTGGGGCGTACTGCCCCTACCTTCCTACGCCACTGACCCTGACAGCCTTTTGAAACAGAGCACTGCCCTTCACATGGCCACTCTATTGACAAGGCCTTTTGAGGTGGCTGATTGCGATGCCCACCTGATGTGCATTGCGAGCTACTGGATATAAAACCTTCCTCTGGTGAGAGAGCCTAGAAATGTCTCGGGGATGCCTACCCACTTTGAACTAAGTGTAAACCAAGATCTCCTTCTCTGGATCTTGCTCAGTTATTGATGGCTAGTCTGGGTAGGCTGGCTATCCAATGGTAGCTACTAATCCTAATGACTCTGTGCTACCTCCATTGTCAGAAGCTGTATACTTCTGAATATCAGTTTCTGGAAACCACCAGAGGGTGAGATTGCTGTTGGGCTGAGGTCCTGCTTTCTTTTTTTTTAAAGCAATTTATTAGATTTTACAATAGGAATAAATGTAACAAACAATATAACATTCGTCTTAACGTAATTTCACATTTTCTTTGGACTTCCTCACATCTCCCGCTCCCACCTTCATCATTATAACATTTTGTCAGCAATTTATCATCTTATTTAAATTCTTATGTCTCTTCGATATTTCATAATCTTATAGTTCTCATAAAGAGTTAAACTTTCACAATTTTTCTTATTTTCTTAAAAACTTCTAAGTTAAGTGGTGCTCAGTTATTTAGACAAGCATCTTATTCAGCATTCAATCAAATCACAATGTTTTTGCAGGTAGTTCTTAAATTTCTTCCAATCCTCCTCGATTCTCTCTTCTCCCAGGTCACGGATTCTGCCAGTCATTTCAGCCAGTTGCATATAGTCTATCAGTTGCATCTGCCATTCTTCCAGTGTGGGTAGATCTTGAGTTTTCCAATGTTTTGCGAGTAGTATCCTTGCTGCTGTTGTTGCATACATAAAAAATGTTTGGTCCTTCTTTGCCACCCCTTGGCTGACAATACCCAAAAGGAAAGCCTCTGGTTTCTTAGTGAAGGTATATTTAAATACCTTTTTCAGTTCATTATAAATCATTTCCCAGAATGCCTTCACT